AATCTGAGTTGCAGTTTGGGTTACTATATTCCCCAAGTAGGATGCAAAGAAGAATCTAAAGATTCGTTTGTTATTTCATTTCAACCTATAGTTAACACAATTACAGTTGACTTTCCAGAGCCCAAGGATCTACCCAGGAGTAGACTTCTCTTTGTGTGATAACGGATGAAACAGACATGCAGACAGACAGATAGACAGATAGACAGACAGACAGACAGACACACACACACACACACACACACACACGGAAGTTGTTCTTCAATACAAGGTGGTTCAGGAAAATCTAAACTCTCAGACTGTAATGATTTGCTGAAAGTCAGAGATCCCAAGCTGAAATTAACCAGAGTAACTCTCCAGGGTTTCAAAGTAGACCTCAGAAAAGGCCTGCTCTTCTTTCACCTTGTAGAACTGTTAGTTATGAAAACTATTCTTCCACCTTGACGAATGAAACAGTTTGACAGAATGAGATCAATATGCAAGGTCTGGGCTGGGCATGTGGTTCAGTGGTAGAGTACTTGCCTTGCATGCACAAGGCCCTGGGTTCAGTCTCCAGCATCACAATTGATCAATCAATCAATCAATCAGTAAACAGATAAATAAGGAAAGAACTATGAGGGGTAGTCATTTGTGAAACTACCCTTTTCTGTCCTAAGGTATAATTATATAAGCCAACAATTACTCTCTGGCTAAATAACTTTGAATTGGATTTGTATCACTTATCACAAAATATCCTAGTACAATATCCACAGGTTCTGACTATGCTAACAGAATCAATGGAATATGAGTCATAAAAGAGAAAAATCACCATCCCGTCCTACAAAATTAGAATGGAATATTTTCTATCATTATCACAGAACAGGAGTGCTTCCTACTTACCAAAGATTTTGTCTTTCTTCTCCAATAGCCTAGTTTCCATAGGAATGAGACTGCTTGAAACGCTAAGAACTATCATAATAAGTAGGGACTTACGATGCCCTCCATTGTATATACAGACTGCAGACATCGTAGACAAAACATTGAATCTAATTATGCAAACGAAGATACAAATTCCCTGGGTGGGAATTTAATCATATTATTCTCCTTTTTAGAGTGAAATTGCTCATGACAATTGTAGAATCATGATATTCTTTCAGTCATTTTTACAACAGTAAAGAGGTATTTCCTAAAGATTCAGTTGTGAAATAAAGAGGTAAATCACACACAGAAGAGAAAGGAGCATGTGATGATGAGAAAGATCATATATCAAAGAAATAATTGGGTGACACAAAACTAATTGGGACAAATCACCTGTTATAAGATCAAACAGGTCATCCAGATTTGTTATAAGATCAAACAGGTCATCCAGATTATTAGTTTCTAATCTTTTTCTAATCAATTTACATGATCAAATATTGCAGGATCCACGCTGCCAGCTAGTACGATTATCATTTCATAGGCCCATGTAATTCATATGATCGATCCTTCATATCTTCTATGCTTCCATCTTCAGAGTTGTATTCTCTACTTTGCTTTTCTCTAAAGAATGTTTCTACCTCTTCTCTCACCATTTTAAATAACTCCTCTTGTCACCAACAGAATATATATTATACTGTAAGTGTCCTTTTCCCCTCTTCCTCCTCCTCCTTCCTATGATGGCTGATACCCAAGCATCTATCATCTTCAGTTTCAATTTTAAATTGAAAAACTAGAAATTGGGATTCTCAGTACAAATAATCAAAAAGTGGTATCTCTATAAGTCAACATGACCCATTTTCACTGAAATGCTCTAAAGAACTGATCTCAGATCCTTTTGTGAAGGAAGACTTTGACTAGGGAAATTATTACTATAATTAACAACTAGTATTATAATATACTATGCGCTCACATTTTAAGTATTATTGCATACCAGCCATCTAGGCATGTCTATCATCCTAAGCATTTTGCATACATTAGCTCATTTTAGTTTTCATAACACCCTTATGATAGAAATCCTAATTATTATCTATACTGTGAAGGTGAAAAATCTTTCTGAGTCACTTACTGCTGGTTACGCAGCTAGTAGATGTGCGTGCCATATCTACCTGACTACAGGGTTCTTGCTCTGATCCAGCATGTGGTCCACATGACACTGAAGTTGGAGAGAAATGGGAAGGAGATGCTGAAGGGTGCCAAAAACAGCAAGTGGGGAAATATAATCAACGGGATGTACATCTCAATTTTGCTTAGAGTCAGCCCTATTTGAAGTAGAACCTTGTTCCCATTATGTAGCAATAGATTATCTGCCATTTTGCATTGTGGAAATGTTCCTTCCATTATCCAGGCTAATCCGGCTGACTATAGAATGCTGTACACAGACATTACAATGACGGACAACTAATTCAATCTTCTCTGCTAGGAAGATGCTACTGTTAATATCTCTAAAACTTTTTCTCTGTAGCTTTTGATACAGGGCACTTCACATATTCCACAACTAGTCCTTCCTACAGTAGCTAGAGAAGGAAAGTAATTGAGAATTAATGGAAGCAGAATGGTTGAAAAGGAAAAAGAAAAATGATTATAGAACAGGGTATCAAAATTACTACCAGACAAAATTTTAAAAAAGGAACCATTACAATGCTTGCTACTTTTCTGAGGCAAACCAAAGGTATATTTCTCAAGGTTTTTGCTGCCTTCCTTAGCAGCATTTGATGGAGGACCTTTTATACATTTGTAATAGATTTTTTTTAAATGAAACAGATTGCAAATCCTTTTAAAAATCTTAAATCATGTACCAACTTTTTGGTTGAAATTCATAGGATAAGTTAAATTGCATTCTTTTAACCAACATGAGTGTATTTCTGTAAGCATAATTACGTTGAAATTAAGTTGTAAATAGCAAAGCAAAGAAAAAACATTGTAGGCTTATTGATTACCTGGTGACTTGTGATTCAGAGAGAAAGGAATGTTTGTCATCACCAAATTTGAAAAAAATAAATTGAATTTGTAATAGAAAACACAAGTTTAAATAGCCAAGATGGAGTTTGTCTACATCACAGAACAGAGACATTAGTACTCCAATGGAAGTGAGATCTGACTGCTTATGATCTGCTTGGGGCTTATAACAGTGGCACCATTTCATCACGCCACAGAAATCCAACTAATTTTACATTCTTCGAAGGCTTCTAAAAATCTTCACCCACGGACTAGGACACTCATAAAAACAGTAACAGTCCTCAGTGAAAAGTCACCAGATGTTTCCATGTTATAGAAACTACAGACGTCTCCAGTTTTAGTAAAATGGAAACTAGGAATCAGGCTAGTAAATGCTTCAGGGCCAATTAGGAACATGCAACATCTAAATAAGAAGAGTGCAACAGGATGAAATGCAGCACAGACACGCATTTGAAAAACTGGCTAACCTAAAGTAGAGTGGCAGGATTTAAAATAATAGACCATCATAAGGTTTAAAATAATACACCATTACAGCCAGCTGTGGTCACACACTCCTGCAATCCCAGCATTCAAGGCTGAGGCAGGAAGGTCACTGTGAGTTCAAGGCCAACCTTTGCTACATAGTGTGTTCAAAGCCAGCCTGGACCACACAATGAAACCTTGTCTCAAAAAGCTAAATTAATATGCCATTACAATATTTTAATGTAAAAGGTCCTGCCGAGGAGATGGCTCAGTAGAATAAGTGCTTGCCTGGCAAGTGCAAGAGGTTCAATCCCTGGTTCTGCAAAAAAAAAAAAAAAAAAAAAAGCAAAAGGTCCTTAAAATGTACTAATGGGTAGCCTAATCTTCTCATTCCAAATCCAGCTGGTTTGTACTTTAATATCCATGAAACAGGGGAAGAAGCAGGGAGAAAAGTATTTTTAAAACTCCCTAAATAAAAAAAAGGGGGGGAGGGCATCATTAAGTTTTGTTCATTCCTGGAGAAATGAAGTAGTAGTAGATGCTTCAGTGAAAGCAAATTCCAGTAATCTGGGTAATTTCCATTAGGTGAAGCTTTTCCACAATGTCAAATGCAAATGCTATCTGATAGCACATATTGAGTTGATGTTTAAATTCCTATTTCCTTATACCAAATTGTTTGAAACCTTTGAGATAAAAACTTCAATATTGTAGTGTTCCAAGCTTTTAATACTTCTGCCCCTTGAGCAAGCATGTCAGATTAATCTTCAGATTGCAATGAGCAGAAAGAGCATTCGACCAAATTCTTAATCTCATGCCTCTCAAAGGATGCTAATAATGTAAGCAGTTTCATTGGCTATCAAGATTCCAAACTTTCTTAATCCTCAACTCCATTACTATATTTATGGGAGAGCATTCTATCCTAAAAGACCGGGGATCCTACCTATTTAATCTTTATACCCGCTTACCACATTGCCAGGCACACAGTAGGACTTTGACAGATACTTTTGAAACAAGTTGATAGGAAAGGCCTAGGCAAAGGGGAGAACGGAAATCCTGATGAAAACAACGTAAATCCAACTGCTGGCTGTGCTCAGCGACAATGACCACCTCCAGAATTAGGGATGTTGGGGCAGAGCAGAAATTTGCACTTGTATCTTCAAAGCGGCATCAGGGGTCCCTGAGGGAGGAATTAGCCCATCTCCAGCTTCAGCAAGCCTGGCAATCTCCTGCCCTGTGTCTACTCCCAGCTCTCCCTGTTTGACACCAGCTTTCCAGTCCCCAGCACAGAACTTAAGCGCAAGCTTCGACCCGCCCGGCCTGCCGGGAGGCTCGACCCCTGAGCACTACAGTCGGGTCTCCCAGCGTCCTATCCGAGGGAAGCCACACCGTGCTAGGCGCCATCCAGGGCACACACCAAACGATCGCCCCGACACCTTTGAAGGTGAAAGCGGGGTGGTGAAAGCAGTGGGGTAAGGGAAACTGAGTTCAGGACCTCAGCTCTATCGGAGGCGTCTCATCCCCCCGCGAAAAGCCTCCTGCCCTGAGCGCTAGCAGAGGTTAGCCGGGCGCGGGGTGGACACCGAGCGAGGGCGGGAGGTTGCAGGAAGCCGCAGGACAGGGGACCGTACCTGGCGTGGCTGTGGTTGCGGGGACAGTCCTTCTTCTCCATGATGGCCGGCACGCAGTTGGTGAGCTCGGTCCAGTCGGCGTGCAGCCCGCAGCTCCAGCCGGTGGAGAAGCGGGAGAAGAGCCAGGTCTCCTTCTTGCCCGGTCGGTGACAGGTGCACTTCTTCTGGCCGGCCTTGCAGCTGCACGGCTGCTCCAGCCGGATGTTCTTCACCAGGTGCCGGCCGAACGTCGTGCCCCCGGTCTTCTGGATGTGCAGGAACACTATCACGTCGCGCCCTTTGATATTGAAATCCACAAGCCGGGTGAGGTCCTGCAGGGTGAACTTGAAGCGTGGCGTGAACCTGGGCAGGGAGCCGTTTTCGGGGGCCTCAGGGTCCTGATCGTCCTCCTCTTCCTCCTCCTCTTCTTCCTCCTCTACCTCTTCTTCTGGGTCCCCTGGCTCCTCATCCTCGTCCTCCGGAGCCGCGGCTCCCCGAAATCCCTCCGGCGGCCCTCGGGGAGGCGGGGGCAACTGGGGTCGCCGTTCCCAGTCTTCGGGGGGTCCCTGTGCCCGGCGAGCTGGACTTGGGGCGGCGGGCGGGCGAGCGTCCCCGGCGCGGGGCTGCTCCCCGAAGTTGCTGCAGGAGCTGGAGCAGGAGGGGGACACGTACTGGTACATGATGACCACGAAGAGGAGAGTGAGCACCGGCGTCAGCAGCCACTTGTTGAACCTTTCATCCATGGTCCCGCTCTCAGGCCGGCAGGGGCAGCGGCGGCGGGGGCACGGACCGGCGCCTGCTTGGAAGTTTCGGGGACTCCGGGGCGCGGCTCGGAGCCCGCCGCTCCTCCATGCCCCTGCCGCCGAGGCGTGCGCTGGCTGGCGGCCCCGCTGCGCTCAGGGGCTGGCGGCGCGGCTGCGGCTGGGGGCACCGGGCGCACGGGGGCGCAGGGCTCGGTGCGCTCTTCGCGCGGCACCGGGTTAGGCGACGCCGAGCATCCCGGGCGCTCAGGCTCTGGGGAGTGCGGCTCGGATTCCGGACCCTCGCCGGGCAGCAGCCGGGCAGCTGGGCAGCTTCGGCCGAGAGCTCAGTAGCTGCATAAGGCTCTCCAGGGCGCCCGCCAAGGAGGAAGGTGCGGCCGGCCCCACGCCGCTGGGCACCGCGCCCGGCACCTGCTCCGCTAAGTGGCGAGGCGCGGGAGCCGCGAGCCGGGCAGACAGCGCCTGCCGCAAGTTTGCAGCGCGGCTTCCTCCGCTGCCGCTGGCTAGGCGCCTCTGCGACGCCGCCTCTCCCCGGCGAGTCGCAGTGCTGCTCCGGGTCGGTCCGCCCAGGCGCAGGCACGCAGACACACTCGCACACACAGGCTGGCACCGTCACAACCCGCCAGCCAGTGTGACGGGAGCCCTGCTACCCGCAGCAAAAACCTGCCCTAGGTACCGAGCATGCGCCAAAGCCTTCCCAGCCCCGGAGGAGTTTCCAGGGGAGGAGTCCGCTGCACTGTGGGACTCCGAGAAGGCCCCTGGGAGTGGGAATCCCTTCAGCCCGAAGCAAGGAGAGATGCGGCCAGAAAGCTAAAGTACTGAGAAGAGGCCCCCAGGAGGACGTCGCTAGTGCTGATCTGATGCCTCTAAATCAGCTGCTTTCTTGGCCAAAGTGGACAGTGAAACTGACCGCTGTACCCCATGCTCCTGGAAGACCCGCGTAGACTGTACCAGACTTCTCACGGTGGGCTGGTCCCCACTAGAGCAGGGCCAATGGGCTCCAGACTGCTTTTCATCTCTACCCAAGACATTCTACCTGCTTCTCAAGTCTTATACTGGTTCTTCCTGAACTACGTACGAACTTAGTGCCCAACTCTAGGATTCTACGAACTTCACTGAATCAGCATCCATGAAGGGCCTATTGTGTGTCGGGTTGTGTTCAAAATACAGTTCTTTCTTTCAGCACCAGGAATACCCAGCCCACAAGCAGGCAGGATATAGGGATCACCTCCTAAAAGTCATTCTCAACGTCCCTCCTTTGCACCAGTGTGAAAGAGGGGACTCTTACCTATAATTGAGCCCTTTTTTATGTGCTGACGTTTTCAGGAGACTTTGCCTTTATCCCAGAGCCAATTCTTTGCTTTAAGACAACTTCTGTTTCTCAGGTAATGAGAGACAGTGCTAAGAAACTGGAATAACTGCCTCAACACAGTTCCTACACCAACTTGACCTGTTTTTTTCCAAATGGACAGCAGAGAGACACTGAAGGTGGAGTCAACCCACGATGATTCCCTGGGCTAGGCCAATGTGTATCTTCTGGCTCCTCTGCCACCCAAGGCTCACCACACTTTCCCTGCCGCCTACCTTCCCACTTGGCCTTTTTAAGGATGCACTCATTTCTTCCTGCCACTGCTAATCTCTCTTCCATTTGTCATGCCCATCCAGATCTCATTCAGAGATGTAAAAGCTTGCCCGTAGAAATTTATGTGTGTTGTTCTAGACAGGTGGGATTCTCAACCAAGTTTCCCTCCTCTGCTTTCTTTCCTGCTTTTGACTCTACAAACAACCACAAATTGTACTTTTCCTGATACTGTAGGAGCCTATACTTGTAAGAAAGGTGTCGGTATAATGAATCAGTTTCTCTAAAGTTTGTATGATTTTAGTTGCATTCACTTAGGTTTAGAATTCTATCAGTGGTAAATAGTGACAGAACAAGAGCCCAATAAAACCCAGTAATTACTTCCTGACTGCATCTGGTTAATGAGTTACTCATGTATTTTTTTAAACCTTTGTTTCAGCCAAGTAATAAAGTTATTACACCTTTTATGTTATTTTATTTGAGAAGTTCCTTATCTATTAAATAGCTTGATATCACATAGACAAATGGAACCTTCTTAGTTATCCAAATGGATAACCCAACGCTTCTGGTAATTTACATAATGAAAAGCACTTTTCTAGTCATCAGCTCATTTGCTTCTCAGTCCAATACTCTGAGGACATAAAAGAAGTATAATAACGCACTTTAGAGATGACAAAACTGAACTGAGGAAAGGTAAGTGAAAGCAGTCCAAATTAGAAATTACTCACATCCCTGAAATGCATTCAAATCACCACTGAAGAAATCCAATGAACATCAGCAAAAATCCTCTTAATTTCCTCTCTCTCTCCTCTGGAGACCTTTTGAGTCAGGAGGCAAGAAGAAAACTGCATTGTTTTTCCTGTCTCTGGCTTTGTAGTCAAAACTGAGCAATTCTACGTCCTGCTGCCTTTCAGTATCTAGTCTCTGATTTTTCAGATAAAAAAAGGAAAGACAGTAACAATTATGAAGTGATTATATGATTATTAAAATAAGTCATTTAGAAGAAACTCAAAAGAAAATATTGTATTAAACAAACACAGCAGCAGTGTTGCTAATGAAATGGATGTGTCCATAAATAAGTGTGCCCTTTAGCACTTCTCATAGAACACTATCCAAAAAGAGCTGTTTCTGCTTTCAGGAAAATAGCTAATGGAGTGCTGCCCTTTCTTTGAAATAATTGCAAGGAAAACAATGCACTGAATCAAGGCAATTACATACATAATTCAGGCAGGGTACCTGGGTATTCATTTTTAATGATAGGTAACTTTGGTTGGATACACACTGTCCCAGGTGTGTGTGGTCTCCTTATTACAATTGTGGAACTAGGTGTGAACCTAATCAAAGCTCTTAAATCACAAAATAAGCAGGCTTCCTTATCTACAAGGGCAGACCTCACATTCATACGAAAATGAATAGAAACTTTCTAAAATTGAATGCTTTCCAGGTAAAAAGGAAAAACATGTTTGCATTCAGCCTACTATAGTTACTCCAGGATGACACCAACTGGCAATTGTTTCTAGCTAACAGATTGCAGCTACTATGATTCCTACACAAATTATTAAAATAATAAAAATAATGTTTCAAATAGCTTCCCTCTACTTCCTTTGCCAGTCTAGTAGTGAGCTTAACACTATTTGGGAGACAATTTGTTCACCTAATTATATGCTTTAATAAGCTTTGCCACAATTATTTTTATGCCTGATTCTTTCCCTATCTTAACTTTAGTACTCTTCCTCTCTGTTCTTTTCAGATATTCTCAAACCTGTTAGCAACACTTCACTCCCCCAGGATTTAAACTTTTGATTAGAAAAGTCCCCATTTAATCAAGTTCAACTAGGAGATAAAATTGCATCTGAACTTCTTTGTTTTCCCTTTGGTATCAGAAACTGCCTTTGAGAAAGGTGAGGAAACCCTGGAGGGATTAACAACACAATCACAGAGAATAGTTTTGGATCCCCTACATTTGCACACAGCAACATATAGATATGAATACCCCTTGATGCAGATGTAGAACAAAATAGATTATGCCAATCATTGCCAGTGCGAATCTCTCAAGAATCAAAAGTGCTCTTGTACTCTGAAATGACTTCCCTGTCATTTTTGTAAACATTAACTTCAACCCCCAGATAACCCCTAGGGTAAGCAGTTTACAAGTAACACCAAAGTGGTAGCTTTTTATTCTTAGATTTAAACAGCAGAATTTATATAGTCAGTGCAAACTGCAGAAAGAATTGTGATACTCATTGTATTCTAGTTCACTACATGATTGCAACTTTGGAGTAGACATGACCTTACATATTGTTTCCCATGAAGTTTTATTTATATGTTTTTTATTAATTTTATTGAGAAAAAAATTGCAATGTAACAGCTTCAAAACAGGTCGGTAGGAGAGTTACAACAATTAATACACTGAATATTGTTGTCTTTGTAGTAGTCATTCATAGCACAAGATGCAGACATGATATCCTGTCCAAACACTATTAGTACAGATCTTTCTTCTTATTGAATTAAGAGAACGTAGCTATATATCTATCCTAACTATTTTGTATATACAGTTACAAAATTGTCCTTCATTTATATCACCTTTCTTTGTTCAGTTTTGTCGGAGATGAGTCATCCATTGTCATCCAAATATTGTAGGTACATGAATTCAGCAAAATATTCCAGTATAGACCAGTAGTCCACAATAGTAGTGGGTTATCCACAGGACTGGCAATGTCCAAATCTGATGACTTGAGCCTTCCACAGCTCAGCATATTAACATAGCTTCACTTCTCATACTTCATTTCTAAACTTTTCTGCTGGATGGTTAAGATCAAGACAAAGCAAGACCTATAAAACAAAAAATGTAACTTTTGTATCTGACACTGTCAGTCAAGTCCCCTCAGTACTTATCCCGAAACCCTGTACCACACTTTGTAGAGAAGGATGTCCTCTATCACCCCTCCTATTCACTATAGTTCTGGAGTCATTAGCTATAGCCATTAGACAAGAGAAAGAAATAAAAGGAATAAGAATAGGTAAATTAGAAGTTTTATTTATATGAACAATTCAGTTTTTACTTTACTGTATAACATTCTTTCCTCACCATTAGAGGAAACCTATAGCTAAGAATGGAAATGATGCTATGAGTGTGCAATGTATTCATTAAGTTAGGAGAGTGTAACTAAATGTATTAAACTTTTCATAGCAGATATTCTTGTATTTCAGTAAGAATTTCTTGAGCACTTTCTATATACTGAGCACTCTCCTAGGTGCTTTAGATGCATTATTAAACAAGCCCAATAAGGAGCCTGCCCTCATGTAACTTATATTCCAAAGGTGGAAATATAAATGATAAAGAAATAAGCAAGATGGATTCATTTAATCCAAAATAAAATGTTGGGATGCTTCCACGTGCTGGAAACTTCTAGGTACATGGATTATATTAGTGAATAAAGATAATAATTGTGACATCAAGAATTCAATGTTAGCAATAAAAAGTAGCACCAAGAAAGCGAGGGA